CGCGTGCCATCACCTTTCCTCCTAGAGCCTCCCCTCTCTCCATCTCACACACACACACACACACAAACACAAAAAAAAGGAAAAGAGACGTGACGCTAAACAGATCGCGTCGCGTGCCACAGCCACGTGGTGTGATCTCCAGCCTTTAACCCCTCCTTCCCCGGAACATTTCCCCCTCCCACATGTCTCTCTCTCTCTCCATCTCTCTTTCTCACTCAAACACACACGAAACGGAAAAACACAGATTGTGTCACGCGGCCCACTTTCACCTTCCCTCACCCGCTGCTGAATTTTCCCTAACCCTACCCCCTACCCCGTTCCCCCTCGCCCATCTCTCTCTCTCTCTCTCTCTCTCAGTGTGTGTGTGTGTGTGTGAAAACGAAAAAAATGCGATTCCGCGCCTTCACACACACACACACACACACACACACACACACACACACAAAATAAAAGAAGAATAAAACAAGAATAAAAATGAAAGCACGATTTCACGCCTTGTATCTTAACCACATGCGCGATTTTGCGGCTTTCACCTCCAACCCCCTTTCAGCAACTTACACCTAGCTTCCCCCCCGCACCCCTTCGACTTTCCCCCTAACTTTTCTTCTTCTCCCCCTTTTCCCTCCTCTGTACTTTCCCCTCTTCTCGTACTTCCCCTTTGTTCTCCTCCTCCCCCGTCTCCTCCTCCAGCCCCATCTCTTTCTGCCTCCCTACACTCCCTCCCTCTTAGGATTCCACATTCCTTTTTCTCCTCCTCGTGTTCCTCTTCCTCTTCCTCCCCTTCATGTGGCATCATCTCCCTTTCGCGATCAGAGTGAATAGGAAAGGGAAACAAAACGACCATAGCCTCGTCCTCCCCTTCACTCTGCTTCGTCTCCCTTTCGCGATCAGAGTGAATAGGAAAGAAAAGCAAAACCACCATAGCCTCGTCCTCCCCTTCACGCCGATTCGTCTCCCTTTCGCGATCAGAGTGAGTAGGAAAGAAAAACAAAACCACCATAGCCTGTTTCGTCCCCCTTTCCCCACGCCATTATCATCTCACCTTGTCCTTGCAAATAGTGCTCCTTACTCCTTATCTTTCATCTTTATTGTCATCTTCAACCTCATATTCATCAGTCAGCGTCGTCAATGCAGGGTGCTTGCTCTCTCTCTCTCTCTCTCTCTCTCTCTCTCTCTCTCTCTCTCTCTCTCTCTCTCTCTCTCTCTCTCTCTC